AAATAGATTTTAAAAGAGCTAATTGCATCATGGGTCACTGGTGGGAATGTATGTGGGTGGGTTGGTGATAGTGATTTTGGGGGCTGGGGTGAGAAGGGTATATCAGCAACGGGGAAAGCCCTAAACTTTCTGCAAAGCAGGGGAATAAAGGCGACAGGGGAAAGGGTTAATGAATTTCTCTTCCTGTAGGACAGCAGTGCTTTCAGGCCTGATAAGAGAGTCTGGTGTTGTGCAGGTACTGCAGTGAGCCCTTATGATCAGATCAAAGGCCCAAAGTCAGTTGGCCTGGTCAGTTTGGGCTTGGAGTTTGAGGAGGAGGCAGAGGGGTTGTGTGTGCCTGTAGATCTTCCTGTTCTGTCAGTTTACTGAACCTCCCTGATCTGAAATTAGCTACTTTTTAAACCTGGATTACGATTACTAGAAATTAGAGTTGATTCAATGATTCGACTTTGGCTTCCTTGCCTTAATTTGTCATGAAAAAGGATTCATTTGAATACATTAATCTGAAGCAAGTTGAGCCTCTGTGACGTTTCCTTACAACTCATTCTTCAGAATGTCTTTCCTATTTTAAAGACCAAAACAATCACCGCTGTTTATGTTTCTCTCCCAGAAGGTGCCAACTCAGACATCTGACTTCTGACCAGAAGTTTACAGAGGAGTACAGTATCTCGACATCAGCAGCTCTTATTACCAATGCAATTACTGCTGCTACCGCTACAACTAAAGGATACTATAATGACCTAGCACATAATTTCTCCTTTGAAGTCGTTTGTTGAAGGTCAGAAATATCCAGGTACAGAAACTCAGCTCCAGGAGAGAGGAAATGAAATGAGGTGCTAAAAAACCTTTCCTGCTGACTACATAATTAACTAGAGACTGATTTGTAATGCCTCACCCCTTCATTTCTCGATGTGTCCCTCCCCCTGCAGTTGTAAAACAACTGCCCTGCCTGACAGGCTGTAGGCTTCTGTGACACATTGTTAGGATTTTCCAGAAATTAGGCAGTTACAGCTCATGTGACATAGCCTTCACACATTCCTACCCAAACCCATGTGTTCTTCTCTGATGGGAGAACCATTTCCTTTCTCGGACGCTCTGATATTTAGTTTTGTTATGAGTCACTTGCAAGCCAAAATAGTTTTTCTAAATATTTTAAGAAAAATTGTTCAGAGAAGTTATTTCCTAACAGGAATGATAAGCCTAATTCTAACATGAGCTAAACTAATTTTAAGTAAATGACTGACTTATCTCTAATTTAAAAAAATATCAGATTGAAAATGGGGTAGCATGGTGATTTGCATTGCTGTCTCACAATGCTGAAGCCCTGGGTTCAATTCAGGACCCAGGGTGCTCTCTGCATGGAGTTTATCTGTTCTCTCTTGGTTCATGTGGTTTCCTCCAGGTGCTCCAGCTTCCTCCCACCGTCCAAAAACATGCTGGCACGTTAGCTGGCTTCTGGGAAAAATTGCCCCTGGTGTGAATGTTTGTGTCTGTGTGTCTGTTCTGCGATGGACTGGCGTCCTGTCCAGGGTGTACCCCGCCTTGCGCCCGTTGCTAGCTGGGATAGGCTCCAGCTCCCCCACCACCCTCAACTGGAATTGGAGGAAGAAGTTAGAAAATGAATAGATAATTATTAATGTTTTTGACATATCGTTTTGTGTATTACAGGATTACTAGAACATACAAGATGTGCCACACTTAATGATTTTCAGTACAGGTAACAGAATTGGAGAGAGAGCTTTAGCTATGTTTTTCTGCTTCCTGAGATGTACAGTATTGTGTATCATGTTTATTGAGTGGTCTTGCAACACCTTACACACCTGCATTGCAGTATTAAAATACATTTGTAGGCCATGTGTTCAGCTCGTGCTAAATTGAATATTTAGTTTATATAGTGCATGTTTTTACATTGTGTGCACTCATTAATGTTGATTGATTCTGGCTCATGACCCTGGAATTTTGTGTTCCCTTGCCTTTTTGAAGGAGTAGCTCACCAATGCTGGCATTCCCCTTTCATGTGCTACATGCAGATGTCATTAATTTCACTTTAGATTAGCTCACATGGCTTCTCAAAGCTTATTTCAAGGGGTATTCTGTAAAGCCCAAAGAGGTTCTGCCTGCATTGCCACAGGTACAGTAGCTGGCAGTGTTTGTGCATAACGTAACCAAGCCACTTAGCAGGCTGTCAAGGCATGACATGCCAGAGACATTGTGAGAAGATGTCCCTTGGGAGTCAGTAGGGAGTTCAACCAGTAGTCCCCTAATCTGTGGGCTTTCTTTAAAAGTGCCAGATAATGTGAACAATTAGCTCTGACTCGGGTTTGATTTAGAGAGCCCATAAAACCTAATCCCACAGAGATCCCAGACACACTGACCATTAGCAATCTACAGGGTGGCTTGTGTGTGTGTGCCGGATCCTTACCTTTCACTTTCATGCATTCACACATGGAATACTGGAGGTTTTTACTGAACATCCTAAATAATAGTGTGAAAACAGGGGTAGTCTAAAATAGTATATGAAGTACAGCAAATTCTGTTTGGTTCCATGTTTTATACTTACAAAAGGTTATGCTGGTGTTATTAAGAAGAGCTTTTGGTGTTTCATATACTGTATGCTGTGTATGGAAAATTGTACAGAAGATCAACAAGCTTTAGTCTTGTCAACACAACTGTTAAAAAGGTGCCTGCTCGCAAACCAATAAGCACTCTGTTGTTCTCTGCCGTTACCTCTTTTCTTTGTGTGTTTTTTTTTTTCTATTTGCACACAATAGATAATTTTAAAGTAAAAAGGGCAAATCTCTATGTTTGTAAAGGTGGCATCTGTCTTCTGGACTTCAGTGATTTAACAAAGATAAAAAGCAAAGTTCTTGTGGGCAGTCTTGTCCTTCATGTACTGGGTCTCCAGAGGTAAAAAACCTCTGGACAGATAGTGGTCAGCAGCTTTGGGCTGAGGGAACAAAGCTCTGGAAAGACTAGCATGTCTAGTCAGAATTAAGACAGCCAAGCCAGCCAATCTAATTTCGATCTCAGTGTTTACTGAACAAGTGATGAAGTAACTGCCTCCTCACACACACACACACACACACACACACACACACACACACACACACACACACACACACACACACACACAACTCCCACCTCACCTTCTTGTCTATGCAAGAGACATTTTTGGGGGTCTTAATCTCTTTGTCTTTTACAAGCTGTCTCCCAGAGATCAAAGTTGTTGTCCCTTTTTCTTGTAGAAAACAGGCTTAGTTATGGTGCTGAGAAAAACAATTTGTGACCCTTACATTGGTCAATATACCACTATATTTTAAACCTAAAACATAGTTAATTTTAGATGTTGTGTGCTTATAACTCTCTATTGAAGACATACAGTGGTCATATGAAACTGTCACTGTTCAGTTAAGAATCTTTCAGGGAAAAACTTTAGGTTTTTGACAAAATAGTCAATTCACTCACACTGTTGCCCATTCTGATAAATTGTTGTAGTAAATCTACATTTATTGTGACAGGTATAGATCTCTGCAGGAGTAGAGAAACAAAAGCAAACATATCCCTTGATAATTCCCTGTAGTCAGACGAACACATTTCAGTTAATGCATTCAAACATTTTGCTTCTGCCTTTCCTACTGTTAAGCAATAATCATATTTTGCTGCTTTTTTATCCCTTATTTCACTGTTACTCTGTCTGGTGAACAGCAGAGTCTTGGGGGTGACCAGATGGCGCACAGATTTAATGGAGAACCAGGTGGCCAGCCCCCTCAGGACCTGCCGTAAAGACATGAAGTCAAGAATTGGTGGGGAAAGGGTTAAGACCACACCACAGGAGTGTGGCTGTATAAGGAGCTGCATCACTCCGAAGGTATTGTGAAGGTTTAATGTATCTTAATATAGTATAAAATAGTAAACAATAAAAAATAGTATAGAATGAAAAAAATGAACAATGAAACAACTTGACAGTTTCTTGAATGTGACATAGAATATAAAGCAGTTATCTCCCAAAGAAACTAAAGGAAGCATGTTCTCCTCCATCACATAGTTAATCAAAATGAGAAGTGCAGTAACACAAATTAATGCAGTCTTTGTAGCTTACTAATTATGTGTTTTTTGACCCACAAACTGAACACTGAGCTGATTTAGGCAGCACATGGGAGAAAGTCATTACCAGAGTACAGAAATGCTGGGGATGGAGACTGAAACTCATTATAGAAAGGTGGAAAGGCCCTTGTGGTCACTCTTGTAGTCCCTCCTGCCGGCCACTTCACATAGGAGTGAAATGTGGACTGCAGGGGTTGTGATGGTTTCCTTCACGTCTCGTTTACTGCGCCTGGCTGAGAAAAGCCCTGCAGTGCTCATGATAAGAAGGGCCTAGCATTGCATCAGTAAGAACATCCATGACTCAGTGTCACTCCCATTGTGGTAGCGGTTGTCAGCCTTATGACATAGGATCCCTTCCGTAAATAGATGGTTGACACTGATCAAGACAAGGACACTTTTGCTCTGTATCCCAATGGCCACTTACAGTTTTCAGAGAGTACTGAATTTTATGGTACAATGACATCAGGTTCAGTGAGTTAGTAGAGTTGGTAATGTGGCCTTAGATTTAATCAAGTCACAGTCCTGTCTGCAAGCAAGTTCTGTTGTAGGGTATCTTCTTACATTCTGTGCTGTACAGCAGTATGTAATGGGTTACATGGCTATTTAATTGTTGTGCAGAATAAAGTAATTTTGAAGCTTTGAAGTCTTTCACTTTAGTGATAAATGTACTGTATCTGGAGTGGTCAAGTCCTCCTCACTGCTTCACAGAACACACTGTGTGCTCCTTTTCAGAAACAGCAATAGGTAGTGTAGATTAATAATAATTATTAATTATTATTTATTAATAAATAATTGCACTGTTTATATATTATGTATAATGAGGTTGTGTAAATCAGAAACAGAGGTGCAGTCAGTATGAATAATCCAAAATTCTTAAAATTTATTGTAGTTCTGTATATACATTTGTGTTTATTTACAACAAGAACAACAAAGTAATCCATCTCTTTTTTACAATTGTATTTTAATTACCCAATTTCTATAACAGCATTGTTGAATATTTTTTCATTAGAAAACTGAAAACAAAGCAAACAAGTAACTAACAATATATTGTTTTGATAAGCTAGAAACAAACTGATTTAGAATACTAAAGCAATAAATACTATGAACAAGAACCATACTAGTTAATACAAGCTTCTTTTTTCTTTTTTTCCATAATCAATTCTTATTGCTTGATACATAATTTAGTATTTTTCATATTTGTTTTTGCTTTTTATACTTTCAGATACATCTATTTTTTACAATAGGGCATTAAAATGTATCAACATAAAGTTATAGGTGACCAATTAATTCTGTGCATGATGCTCTGACAGTAAAATATGTTTTAAGTGTAGAAGTACCACCTCTTTTTTTAATATCTTTTGTCCAGTTCTCAAGACCATGACACTGAAAATGAGGTTTAGCAAACTATGGATTCTAAACTAAGACGAAGATTCCCAGATTCCGGTTAATCATCTGAAATTATTTTTTCTGTATATCAAACCATACACTAAGACAGCCTGGATTGTATGAATGAATCTTGCTGTTATTGTGAAGGGTAAAGAACTTTCTTTAACATTGCCCTTAACATGATCATATGTATTAGAAACATTTTTAGATGATGAAGAAATTCACAAACAATGAGCTTCAGTCTGTAGTGACAGAGCTTTTGGCATATAGGGACATGTTAATGGTCGTCCAAAACTCATACTACCGCAGCAGAGTTTGGATCTATTGGAGCTGTGATCATATTTTTTAAGTAGCATTTGTGGCTTCTTCTACTGCATAAAATGGTCATAGATTAAACAGTTTTAGTAAAATAAATCCAGTTTGTATTTTTTCCTGTTGTCCTTAATTATTGGGTTTGATTCTTAGCAAAGGAACTAGTTGCTCATTTGTCCTCTCTATGCAGCCAATAGTTTTTTTTTTGCAAGAAGATAGTAGTATAAAGGAGGTTTCAGGTGTGATGATTTCTGTCTGAAAGAGCACAGAGAATGCAACAAGAAACAAAAAACAGAATTTGAAACAATGTCCTAGTGGACAATTCTGTACAGTATGCAATTCCTCTTATATGCAATCAAAAATAATTATTTTTCAGTCAAATAATAAAGTCATGGAAATGACATTGTTCAAGCTGTTTGTTAATCAATGTTCTAGTAAAGTTATAGAGGTAGAATTATTTTTTACATTAATGTGTGAAAAAGCACATTGTAGCTGTGCTAAACAGAAAGCATTGATGTTTAAATACAATGCAACAAAAAAGGTGTGATGCACACAAAATCAACAAGCTACATTTTTCATGTATAAACCCTCATTAACCCAGTGTTATATTGTTGCCAAATTATTAGAAATTGACATCTGGCCAGACAGTCCTTCGTCCGTCACGGAGAAGGAATCGATGCCTCCAAAAGTCCGTTCTCTGAAGCATTTGTAATATGTCAGCTACTCGCCAAAATCTAGACTCCTGAAAGTCAATCCTGACTAATACACAGCCGCCAATTCCCTGATTAAATAAGGCCATATCTGTAAAAGTGGCTAAGATAATATGTTGAGTGTGACACCTCTATTTTAGAGAGTTTCAGTTAGATAACCTAATGTGCAGAATTAACCTTAATACTGCCTTACATCTGAAGAACAGGTCAGCAATTTAACAAATCATTACAAGTTTAATTAGAATTAATGAAGTGCTTACATTTAAGGACACAAAGGAGGTTTTACAGTGGAACAGATCTGAATATCTGTTATTAGCAGAAATGCTTTGTGGCCATAAGACGATGTTATTTTAGGTAATCAGATTGTATATCGTAAAAGTGGGTTGAAAGTGAGCTGAATTAAAGGAAAACTTATTATCATTTTACTTCCTGCAATTTAACAGGATTTTGTGTACCATAGCGTATCTTCCTCAGTTTTGATGTTCAGTTTCTGAACACCTAAGCAATATTGTCTCAGACTGAGGCGAACCATGTGAAATTGTCCTTGTGTTACTTCTTGCTCCATTTAATTGCATGCTTTAAGCCAATTTTATCATTGTGAAGAAACCACCATTTTATTCAGTAATTGCCCACATTTGAAATTTGAATGGAGGGTGGTATGTGTCCACTACAATCTCTGCATTAGAATTTCATGCACAAGCTTTGCTTTTGTTTAGACAGAGATGAGCTGAAGGAAACATGGAAAGAGACCAGCAGCCGTGGAAGCATAGGAAAAAAAATCCACAAAATGCAAAAGGAAAAACCGCAGTTTGAATCAGAACATTATCCATCATTCATCATATTTCTCATTATGCCTTTTCCAATGTTATGCTCAGTCATTGTTTTGCATTAGACTTCCAAGAACTCCTAGATAATCAGTTGTTTTTCTGTCCTCCTCGATCTTTACCGGAGGCTTAAAATACATATTAACCCTTTTTTCCCTGTCGATAATTCATCAACAGGCCTATGGCATTAGTCTTTTAGTCCAGCTCCTTATCACACGCTTCTCCATATTATTTTTTATCAAGCTTCAGAAATTTTTGGCAATCAGCAAAGGTTGAAATAAAATGTTATTTCAAAAAGAAATAAATATTTCTAAAAGAAATAACAGTACATGAAAGATGATATTCACTAAATTATAATGGTATACAGTTGCAGATGCAATTGGCTCCCTCTACCACTAACACTACTAATTTATCAAGCAGACTATATTTTGTTAAACTACACTTATTTGCCAGTGATACCTTTCCTAAGTTTATTGAATATGTTCATCATAACAGGTGGTGGTTAAGACATTCTGATGAATTAACTAATTTAAGATATAGACCGCCAATTCTTATCTGTGCCGAGCTAGTTATCATATGAGTAAGGAACTTGTGGTTGCCCAAATAAAGATTAATGTTTACACATGTGCTAAAGCGCACATACTCAAGACTTTTTCAACAAAGTTCTGCATTAACTCCAACTCCAGGGTGAATGAAATAATGTTAGCATTAAATAAATTGACTCAACTGTTCTCATGAGTCATGCAAACTGTACCAGTAAGATATGGCTACATTAATTGCAAATTAAAATCTGAGTAGTTCCTTAATCATAGATCTGCTGTGAAAGCTGTTCATTTCCTTGAAGCTTTTTACTGCTAGAATATGGCTACATACCTTTAAAAATGTGGCGATTTAGTTTTCTGATTAATAAAGTGATACACCATGAAAGACATTGCAATATTTACAGCACACCCTTAAAGAATTGAACCCAACATTGTTTGTATTTGTATCAAAATCAGTGAAGAAACAGGGAATGGTGTGTGGGTGGTGGGGCTAATTGTCCTTTATACCTTGACTAGCTTATGCAATAAGCAATTAATATTGTTTCTCTATCAGACTAGATGATCTTGTATTCGGTGGCTCAATTTTAGATATACAAATTCAATGCTAGCTTCAAGCTTTTGTTTTGATAACAATACCTACGGATTATAGTTGAAAGTCTAGACCATTTGCTAAGTTCCTTAGTGCCTTAAGTTGTATACACAATTCTTTTACTATGACTGCTTAAAACACAGTCCTGATAATTGAACTCTGGAGTTCTATCTATAAGGATACCAGCGTCCCTACCGTATTTGTACAGTTTGATTCACTCTGCCAGTGTGATCCCTAAAGAAAAATGAAATTATGATTTGGAGAAAAGGGGACATGCAATTATGATTGGTAAGGGAGGGGAAGATCGATGGACAAATAAATCAGCTCCTCAAACAAAACAGAATATAATCCAATAGATTCTTCTATTCACCTTTTTTAAGAGTCAAATATAAGAAAGTTGTCTTTCCCTAAATCTAGACATCTTGTAGAAGACATCCACTGAATCATTTTCAGTTAAGCTAGACTAGTCTTATTTGCTCAATGGTGAGTGGCCTTAGCCTGTGTCCACTGTTGTGTACAGATGGGCGAGGTAATTCACGGCAAAGATCTTTACAATTAGCAATCCAAAACATTTTCCATAAAAATCTTAGGAAAACCTTCTTAATGTACACATTTACAGTTTGAAAAAAAAGAGGTGGAAATCTTGACTTCTGATTTGGTGGCCTTCACCATAGCTTTGAACGGAAGTGAAAGTCACATTAAAATTAACAAACCTTTGGTCTGGACTTCTCAATATGGATATCTCAAACTAGAACTGGGGTAGCTGCCCAGTATTGGATTAATACTTTAGCTTCTATAAAGAGACAACAAAATCAGCATGATGGGTAAAAACAAATTCATGCTGTGTATAAGTATTATACATTTTATGTCTTTACTCTGAAATAAATATCCAATGTTTTCTGTGGATTTTGTCTTTCCAGTGGTTCAGCACTAGACCTTATAGATCCTGTATTAAAGTGGACTAAAAGCACTGGAAAGAGTTAACTGATTAAGGGTCCTTTATTTTCTGAATAGCATCTGACACAACTAGGTGAACAAAACACCACAAACAACGATAAAGAAGTAGAAAATAACAAAGGACAGAACTCTTGTGAGGCTGATATTGTATAGGCTTATAGAAGACGAACAGGAGTAGACTTTCCCTTTGCAGCATTCCTTCGGAATGAAGGGGTGTCACACCAGCAATCCTGTGCCTCTAGTGTACTGAGCTTATCCCTGTGTATGCTTATTTCTCTGCATGTCTTTCTCTTTACTGCTCCAGGATGAGTCTCATTCCACGGGAACAGCGTTGTAGCTTTGTTTTAAACAACAGACAAACTCCTTCATACCTTTGAGGCCACCTCCTTTTCCCTCTCTCTGAGGGGAAGATTCACAGACTGAGAATAAGGCTGTCGTACGGAAGGGAGCCCATAGCAGTGATTATACCACGCCAAGTCTTGGAATTCGTGGGAAAAGTTTGTTCTTGTTTCATAAATGCGTCCCCCCCCCCACCCCACCCCTGGTCTCCTGCCCCCAGCGTGTCCTCAGTCTCAGGTCAGGATGTGATGCGACTAGCTGCTCTCGCTCCACTCCGGCACGATGCCCACGCCATGGACAGGGTGGTACTGGTGTGGAGAGAGGTTGCGGGGCATGGTGTGAGGGTAGAGGTACTCGTTTCCCTGGAGGCCAGCGGTGGGAGACTGGAGGCCCGTCTGGGGTCCACATTGTCTGGCGAGGGGCTGATGGGGCACAGAGCTCTGGTACATGCTGTGCGTGTCCGCGATCTGTGGCGAGGCGTGGTTGGCCACCCCACTCAGTCTGGGCATGAGGGGACCAGAGGTGAAATGGGCAGAGAAGTGCTGATAGGACATCCGCTCCATGGGCTGCATGGCAGTCACTGGGCAAGTGCTGTAGGGGGGCACGGTGGCCCACGTGTTGCAGCTGATGTCCTCCAGGCTGGGCACGGGGTCTGCTGCTTGCGAGGCGCTGGCATACATGCAGGCCTGGCGCTGGGCTGACTCTGTCCTGTACGGGGCTGCACCCAGGCCGGGAGGCTGGGAGTAGCTGCCCGCTCGGTAATAAGCATCCTCGTCTCTGGGTGAGCTCTCGATGTAGGACTTCTTGTAGGGGTGCTCGGCAGTCTGGCACTCGTCCTCCACTGTGGAAAGAGGACAAGAGACGTGGTGACCATTTCACGCTGGAAGGAAAAGAAAAGAGACACAAAGTTTCGGCTGTGGAGCCTTTTTCACCCGTAACATTGCATCTCTTTTCTTTTCCTTTCAGTGTGGAATAAACCTTTGCTTTGTCCCTTGCAGGATACGCCTGCTGACGCAGCTCCCTACACCATAGTGGCGATTTGCTTGAAGAGGCAGCAAACAGGATTTTGACTATTTCTTGAGTAAAACATACCTGCGTGATATTTACGATCTAACTTACATTTAGTGATCACACTTACGGCATTTGCTGATTGCATCATCAGTACCGAACTGTAGGATGTGCTCCTTGGAGCCTGCTCACCTTTCCTCTTGGCGCAGTGGTAGACCTGGTTATGCTCATGAGAGAGTGGGTAGGGGTTGGACTGAGCCATCAGGTCCTGAGACGTGCTGGTGACTCCGTTCTCACACTGGTACTGCGAGCCCAGGCTGCCCGGGGTGGGCACCCCCCTCCCATCCCCACCGTAGGGGCTCTGGCTGGAGCCCACCCTCTGTCGGACCGTGCTGCGCGGGACCACTGGGTACTCCTTACTGCGGGAGAAACGATCAGCAGCAGGCAGAGCTGCTTGTTAGCCTGACACTGCCCAAGGTGATCAGCTTTTCAGCTTCAGAGTCACCCTATGTTCCTAAAACAGAAAGATTTAGATCCTGGCATTTTAGTGTTGTTTTTATGACATTATTGCACGTTATGCAATTTTGTTTTTGTGTCAAATAATGATCCAAATTTTATTGCTGTGCCAATCAGCCATTGGCACAGAACATTTAAATAATAGAGAGTGCCTTTAAAAAGGTGAGGCCAATTTTAAAGAATACAGCTTGTGTTGTATTTAATATTGTTAAAATGCCTTTTTAATACTGACACAAAATATGTAAAAGAATGGAAATTACTAACAGCTATAGGAAAAGTGTGCTCTATATTTCTAATGTACTAAAGGTACCACCAGGCTTTTTCCTCCTGCACTGCTTTCTTGTAAGTTGAAATAAACTGGTATTGAGCCAAATGCTTTTAAAGCACAGAGTGTCCATTTATTTCTTTAATGTCATGAGCAGGGATCTAGAATGAAACCTGACCTCATCCTGCAAATTTAACTTAACCAGTTCTCTCCCTGTGTGTAGAAACAACTGGAGCTTAAATCATGCGCTGTTTGTCTTTAATATTACCATGTTTTTGTACTCTGATGACCAAATATGGTCAACACTGCACCACATAAGACTTCATGAAAACTAGGCTCTAGGGAAATTGGAAGAGCATTTCTAAAGCCAGAATTTATATGATTAAAGCAGATTAAAACAAAAACAAGTAAACATTCTCACGACTAACTTAAAATATAAAACAGAACCAACAACAGCAAAAATACATTTATTTTCTTGGAGCCTTTTTTAAATTTTCAACTAGTAAAATGTAAATGAAAATGTATGATTTTGGTGCCAAAAACACTTACTGTAAGCCCACATTTTAAGCCTGTGTTATTGAATACTTCTGAACTTTGAAGCTGAGTCATTAACATAATGCAGGGTTTGACATGAAAGCAGAAACTGAAAGAACAGAGATCATATGCTTCTCAAACAAACTCTCGTTCTCCCCTTTACACAAAACTAAAATGTCATCATTACAGTCAATATTATTTATTATTATGTTCCTCACAAAACGTCCATGAATATACATGGTGGATATATAACAAAAATATTGCTGTAATATGTTATAATTTGGAGTTTTCGTAGAGGACATGATATTAGAGCCTTTAATCTACAGGGTACTTTCTTTTGCATGACTCCAGATATAGTCATGTTTTAGTTTTTTGGCTTTTTACAGTATAATTTACATGCTCTAGTTTTATAACTTGTTTATTTTACCTCTGACTCTGTAATCACATAGCGTTGTTCACAGTAGTACACCCAGACACACATTCATGGTTTTGAATTTTTTAAATATTTTTGTTAAGTGGGGCCTTAACCTGTGAAGCTTCTAGAGTGAGTGGAACATACTGTACAAAATAATACACTGGGTCTCAAAATCTGTTTCAGCCTCTTGTCCAATTCTATAGCATCTCCTACTGGTAGACTCTCTGAATGAGCAGTGACTCATCCTTTCCTTTGCACTTCTAAACTTTGCTTTTTATTTTGCAAAAAAAATTATATATATATTTTCCACAGACATGTTTGCTTCTTTTGCTCCAGAGTTTACCAAAAGTAAAATGAATCTTTTCTAGAATATTCAGAATAAAACATCCTGCAGGGCTTTGGAGTCTTCATTACAACTGAGCATTTACCTAAACTAAGTGAACCCATCTGTGGCTTTATGCCAGCTTTTTGCAGTTCATTAGGTGCTGTGGATCTAAAAAAGAGACCTATAAAATCTGCTAAGATTCAGCTCTCCAGGACTAGAGTTGTCCTTACATGAAGACTTCTGATCTAAGTGAGATATATTCTCTAATGTTGCGGTAGTTGTGCAGGAGGTTTGTGTATTGCCATTGACTTTAAAAACTTTTTGCACAGTAAGAACAGTAAACCATGTTTCTAATTATTGTGTAATTAATGCTTAGTAGATAAAAAATGAAAAGGCAGAGATATTAGCTTTCCTGCTTTATAGTACTTGTTCCAGCAGTACTTTCACCATTAGAAGCATTAATTTTCTCTAAATTACATAACTAACTCCAGTTTCCCTGCTGCTTAGTAGATAGTATGTATTAAGGGAAAGGTTTAAAAAGGAATGTACATCGTATAATTTTTTTCACTTGTAAAATACTGCCTTTGGAAATGTTAAACATATTTACTGCTGATATATATGACCTTCTCTCCCAAAGCTATACTCCTCCAGGTGAATTTTCCAGATGACGTTTTTCATTCTGGCTCTCAGGATTTTGCAGATATCATGACTTTATAAGGCTATATCTGCAATTGTAATAAAGATACAAAAGTAGGCTATGGCCGAAATTGTCCGTAATTCTGCTCAGTTTTGGAGAATTAACCTAAATGAGCCACATATACAGTATTTGTGTCTACATTAGCTTGGACATTGTTCTGGTATCCTTTATACAGAAGTATAAAAATACTGTACTTAATGCACAAATTCCTTAATGCACTTAATTCTACAAATAAACTCCATATCCATAAGGTTATTTCTGAGCCTGCTGTAATTCTGAACTCTGAAGATGTCAAGCTGTTCAGAGGATGCCCAGACCAACTGTGAGCAGCTTTGTTCAGGAAGACCAAGCAAATGACTGGCCTCTGTTCAACAACTGCACTTACATCATATCTGTGCAGGGAGGCGAAGCTGAGTGGCACATCTGTGTTAAATCATATTTACTTCTCTTTTTCTGTTTTAAGCAATTGATCTTCATCATCGTAGATGAAACAAGTCATAGAAAACTACCCAAAGGAGATGGAAGTCTGTTTTTGTGATATTCCAATTTAATGCACATCTCTTAATATGAAATATGATAAGAAACTGCAGGAATGAAAAAATACCATCTGATTGTGATTATTTTTTATTCATTTCATAAGGGAAAAATGTTAACAACATTAATATTCCCCACATTATCATCTTATCTTTGATGTCCCTCAAGTCTGAAATGTATTACAATTTGTAGTGCTATGTGTCTTTTTCCATTGTTAGGTATAGTGTTAGTGTTGTAGGTTCTCTAATACAATGTATAGTAACTTTAAAATTAACCTTCATCTACTGCAATATCTAAGTGCAAAAATTATATGATCAATGCAAGTATATAAGCACATGAAATATACACTGGTCTGCTTACTAACTCAATGTCATGTTACAGAATGGATAGAAACATACAGGCATGTTGTTCTAACATGGTTCTGGCATGCTGGGGTGGGTTTTATCTAATTTCCTTCAGGACGTAGCTATGAAATATCACACATTCTGCTTTTTGTTACAATAAAAAAATATGAAAAGGCACTATCATCCGTGATAAATAATCTCCTATCAGTTGCTCAGCAGGATATCATGTGTAGGGGTATGTAGTTGAGTAAGAATAGCACTGTTTCTTCAAGGATGACTCTGGCTGACTTAAAGGATATTGTTAGGGGTTGGAGTGAGGCACACTACTGCAGTTACTGTGCAGTTAGCTGATAACAGTACCTCACACCAGGTTTGGTGATGGAGAAGGACACACACAGCAGGCTGTCCTGAAAGATTGCAAGGGTGGGTTATTTATTTTTAAAAGTAGGTACCTTTGCATCCTGGACATCCTGTGAAGCTCCATATCGTCACTTCCACGGAAACCTTTGGCAAAGGGATTGTTCTCAATCTTTAGCTGCGTAATCTGCAAATAATATGGTAAAAAACACAATAACCTGACTGCATATTGATGTTTAATCATTAGTACCAATAATGTATTTTTATACTTATACAAATTATAATTTTGGTTATTTAGAAGATATAGTACAAAACAGTCTTCTATGCAAGTTATAAACATCAAATCTGAATTTATCATTAAAATAATTAAAATAACAGAGTTTTAAGTGCAATATCCCCTTTTACACCATTTACATCAAAACAGGAAAAACATCAGGAAAGGTACTCGTATACAGCACTTTCCACAAAAAAAAAACATTTGTATTTTAGCTAATAACAGGAGGGCAACCACAAAACTGTCCTGTTTGTATTCTGCATAAAACCCTTTGTGGTTTTGCTTTAGGAAATTAAAAAGGGCAAGAACGTAGCAGATGACTGTTCCTCCTCTTCTCTTTTCCTTCTTTAAATTATGTCCATGACACATACAAATTACAAGTAAGATTTTGACATTTAAAACCAAGATTCAGTTTTGTTACACATATACGTCTCTGATGTCTCTTTCGGTTACTGCCCCCAAAACAATCCTCAATTGTTCTCAATCCACATCTATATTGTGCTTGAATTCCTGCTTCCAGCAGTTTGAGAGAATTAATCCTTTATAAGAATGGTTATCAAAGAAATTGTATGTAGTATATCTAAATAAACTAAACTGTATCACATGTTGTTTGTATCCATTACTAGTGTTGTGTGTTTAAAAAATCCTAATAAGTTAATTAAGCAAGACTAACATTTTCTAAAATCATGTTAACAGTCTCTTAGAATCCTACTGCTATATACACGATCCTCTAGTTTAGTTCTAATTTTTGTTTCATGCCTGGATCGGTTTTGTCACCCTATTCATGGATGGATGCAATTTTACAGTCAGTGGGTTTTAGCTCTGTCTCGATTGACTGTTGGATGTGTTTTAATAACAGACTGAATCACTTCAGATCTCTTGCTTCATTAAATACAACTGATAGGAAACCATCAAGTCCTGGATATTTACCCTTAGTTTTTGTAGTATCTGTACCTTTTCGATTGTGATATTCTTTGATATAGAACTTTGTGTTTAGACTGAGACATGTTTTCTAGTTCTTCTTCAGCTTAAACCAGAGAGGAATGTTCATTTAATATGTCTACCGTTTCTCTATCAATATCCAAAAGTTTCCAATTTGTAACTATGAGATAATTTGTCATCCATTATTGTTCTCTTGCTCTTGTAATACTCATAAACACCTTTATTATTTATTTTAACCTTCATTGCAACATTCTTTTTTATATTTCCCCTAGCCTTCCTAACATATTTTAGGAAAGTGCTTAAAAATCACTATGCACTTTTCCTTTAACAGTGAAATGTTAAAACTATTTTTATAAAGCACTTGCTTCTCCATGTATTTTTCTTAATTGATTTATTAAACCATTTGGACTGCTGCTTTCTTGGCTTTGATTTGCTTGGGTGAGTCAGTTCTGTTTGTAGCAGAATATAATTTCTTTGCATCCATTCTCAACTCATTTCAGACTTATCCTATGCCTTGTTAATCTTTCAGTCTCTATCCCGTGTTTCTTAAACTAAGCCTCATTCTTTCATAGTTGACTATTCAGAAATTGTAATTTTTTTGGACTGTATTCTTTACAAGGTTTTAAACATATTTCAAAGTTTATCATACCAGGATTACAGTTTCCTAATAGTTCTCTACTTTCTTCACTCTGTCTTGATTGAATGAACAGAGTATACAAATATAGGTGTCCCTTCATGTAGATTTTCTGACAGACTGAGTAAAGAATTAATTGTAAGCAATTTTAACATCTGACTTTCACCTGAAGACAACACTAATGTTTTTTTGCATTCTTTAAAAGGAAAGCTATGATAATCATTATCGTCCATTTCTTTATGCTTGCATCCCTGATTTTATTATACATGATTGAAGAATAATTTAACTTTTCTGATTAGTTGGTTTGTATTTCAACAGTTCTGAATTGTAAATTATACTGCTTTGCAGAGATCATCTTAAAGGTTATTGGAGGCAGTCAAACTGAGATAATGTGGTTTCTAGTCATGTGAAGGCTCAGTAAAGATTTCTGCATAAATTATATATGAAGTTAGATTTAAAATTAATGCTGGAGCTGTGAATGTCTTGCACTTGTTGGAAATGTGTCTGATTACACTGGTTAAAACATTTGTGGATTTTCTTTAATATGGTCATTCACATAAAAAAATGTGTTGAAAACCACCACTACATGCATTGTGTGTTTGTGCTTATTTCCAAAATAGTAGGATGCTAGCACAAAATGAAATGAGTGAAAAACTGCTGATGATCTCATTCTGACATACAGTTGGTATAGTTTTATCAAAGGCTAATCATTTATTTAATCATAGTTAGGAAAAAAAGAATGGTCTGCTGCCACAAATACTGAAAACTGACAATATAAAAATAAACCAGAATTCTAAAGATCATTTCTAGGACAAGTGGACTCTATCCATAGAAAACAAAAAGCTTTACCACTGCTGTATACGTAGTGATGCCTTTGTTCTTAAATTGAAATGCTGCATTTATTGTTAGTATTGAAGAATAGCTACAAAATATGAAGACTCCAAGACCTCTGTTTATAAAGAACATCTTTTTCTTTGCTTTCATACTTGATATTCTCTGGAATACAGATACTCTTTGGCTTGTGATATCAGGCATTAATGATTTAGGTTGGTGGATGAGACATTGTTGTTAACTGTTGTTTTTTTTGCTTTTTCCCAAGATACCTTACAGTACACCTCGAGCTCGTGCCAGATAGATTATACAGAGCGCTTGGGTATTCCCACATAGGGAGGGATACATTTGGCAGGTACTGTGCTGGCAGGCACTGTGTATCCCCTGACACAGGAGAGCTGCTGTAAACCGGCGCTAGTTGTGGAACCTTGTAAAATCCCCTTTGCTGTGACAAAGGCCTAATAAACAGATGGTGCATTTGGCAGCCCCTTAGTTGTTCTGTTTTCAGGATTTTTTTTAATTGAATGTTTTCTGATTATTTGTAAGAAAGATAAGACCTATTCCAATGTGTAGCACTACAGGAATACTATGTATCTCTATGAGACATTGGGGGTAAAAGTGCTATAGAGAAAAAAATGCAGTCCCAGGTAGGAGTAAAATGCAATAAAAGTGGCAAATAATTCTGAATACTGCAAAAACAAATCAAGAGGTAGCAAAATGGATATCATCTAAGCTTAAAGATTTTGCGTTTTTTGTGTGCGTTTTTTTGGTAATGGAAGGAGTATGGAAATTGGTGGGGGGTACAGCCTTTATTAAAATCCCCACACAGACAGGGCTGCAGACATAAGAAACGCTTGTGTGCAGCTGCTCAGAAAGACATGGTTGTTTTGCGATGATATCTGTAATTACAGAGGCATTACCATGTGGTAAAACTGAATGAAACAGAATCTCCCCCAGTCAAGATTTCACAGATTGTTCTACAAACCCTGCAAACACCGAAGAAGATGCCTTGACGAAAGCATTAGCACTCATGATCCTCTCAAACTGTTACTCGGAACTGTCCAACATCACACAAGACATTTCTGTCGTTTGCAGCTGGTCAGGAATTCAGACATTGTAGACCACTTTAATAGACCACTTTTAACAGCCTTGGATCAAAAACACTGCACACACTATTGTATTTTCGATTGCTAAAATAACCAAACAAAGTTAGTATTACAACAGAATGATACATTTTAAGAATTTACTCTTTAATTATTCTTATTCATACAGTATATGTCTTCCATGCATTGTGTGTGTTTCTTTAGAACTTTCGTTACTTGTTAATTTTTTGGAGTGGAGTTCATTAAAAAAACAGCAAAATTTGATATTACAAGAAATATGGTTTAAAAAAAACCATTTGAAAGGACACTAATTACAGGCTTACTTCAATCTTTTGTAACTGCTGTAGGTGAATTTGTGTGTTTGCTAGAATGCAATTAAACCAAGGAAAACCACTAGAGCTAGTGATTACTCACTTCTGTGAGCTGAAGTGATAGGTTTAATAAGATTTTATTAGTTAAAAGATTGTTTAAGATAATTTTTTTTAATTAAATAATGTTTTTATTGGTTGGTTCTTATTCTTTGGTTGGATAATATGCATTGTGAACTGGGACCAAAATGTGTTTAAAAGAACCCTAACAAAATTAAAGCCTGTTAATTTTAAAACATTAATTAATTAAATGTAGTTGTATTTACTATATTTACTGTATTTAGTAATACTTTGTCCACTTAAACATTTCTCTAACAAACCAATTATGTTTTTATAAGGTGTATAATAAAGAAATTATTTTCAAACCACCTTCTTACAATTTTATAAAAACTTAACCTCTTAATCTAGATCTATTTTAGAGCTATGCATTTTTTTAAATGATCCTTATTAATGTTCTAGATCATAATAATTTATTCACCGATATCGTTGTGATGAACAAGTTCTTAATGTTTTCTACGTCCTAGTA